GACATATGGCCCTCTTTGGAGTGGCAGGAGGTTCAATGCTGATTGCGATCATTGCCGGTTGCTGGCTGGCCATTTTGCCATGGAGCAGCGACGACTACGACGACGACGACTTCAGTTCTGTTCGGGTCCCATGTTGATAATTCGAAATTTGTATTCCAATCTTCAAATTGTCTCCCAAAATGGAATTGATTTTATGCAGATGAGCATGAAATTGTCTCAATGCGAGTTTTGCATGTTAGTGTAAATAAATGTCACGATGACGGCGATGGCAGCACAGGGCACAGGGACAAGGACGAGAACGTGATGAGTCCTCGATTTGGAATTTCCTTTTTGGCCATTTCATTGGCTCTGCTCTCCATTTCGCAGAGTGCATGCAGCATCAAAGATGCGACGTTTACGGATTTGTAATTCACAGCAATTCATTCTACTTCCTCTCTCTATTTCTCTCTCTTCCTCTCTCTCTGTGTCTAAGCCCATTTCAGCCATTTCGATTCGCAAAACCGCATATTTCCCCAACGAAAATTTATTACTTAATTCTTGGCCAAGGCGAACCAGATGCCACTGGCCGGAAAATCAAATCAAATAAAAGAACGCAACCGCAGTGAAAAGCTCATAAAATGTTCAAGAAATCCACTTTAAATATTTGGCTAACCAGAAAGCGAGGATTTCCCTTCCACAACCCTATAGCCCCTCGTCATCTTCCCTTCTTCCTTCGTTCCTTGGCTCTCAAATCAAACAATGCGCTCGCTTGCATTTCATTTGAATTTACAACTGTATTTGGTATTTGAACGGGATGATCAAAGTAGCTGCCACGCCCCCGCTATAGCCCCTGTGATAGCAATCGTTCAACGGCGAACAAGAAATGAAAATCATCATCGTTCCAGAGCAGCAGAGGCAGGCCAATAAAATGCCAAGCCAACGAGTCAGTCAACGTTCTCACACCCCCCCCCCCCCTCCCACCACAAGCCGAAGCGGAGAAACACACACAAACACAAATCGAATAAAAATTCTGGCCAGAAATTTGTTTGGAAAAATGGGAGAAAAAAATGGTGCGCAGTCAATGGCCCAATGTGTAAACAGGGCCAACAAAAATATTTCAATATTTCAAACACGCAAGTCAATGGCTGGCAAAGGATGATGACGATGATGATGATGATGTTGATGATGATGTTGATGGGTGAATGCTGGATGAGCTGGGGTTCCGGGTTTCAGTTGCGGTCCGGGCGGGCTCGAGCAAATGCATTGGCACACTTACTCAAAGGAAATTGAAGGACAAGCCGCAATTCATTGATTTAGTGGTATAGATTTTGACTCGAATGCATATCAAGGGAATTCCCCTTTCGTGGTGCGCGATGTTATCGCCTTTCATTTGTTTGCTTTGCTGAGTAATTTGTGTTTGCCATTGCCGTTGATGTGTTTAGCATGCGGCAAGGAGTGATCCATTCTGTAAATTATATATGTCCGTATGTCAGTCGGTGTGCGGTGGGGGGTGGGGGGGCCACATGGGGCACAAGAGTGCGATGGTAGTGTAGATAAGGGCAGACGCCTAAAGTGCCCAGGAAATTGCAAATTGCTAGTTAAGACATGGTTACGTCCATAAATATGTGTTCAGAGTTGATTTCTCTGGCATTTCAAATGATAGTTTAGGTTTCCTTATGTCTATATTTGCCCGTGCCCGTGCCCGTGCAATACAGGATACAGGCCACACTTGAGTAGCAATCGGGGAAAAGCTTACTCAATCGAAATCCTTTCAGCTTTCTCCCCATATCTAACACACTTATCAATGCCGCCTGCTGGCTGGCACTGGCACACTCCCATGCCGCAAATGCATTTCACAAAAATCTCATGCATAAGTTTACGAGTATATCCCAAGTTTCGATTCCGTCTATAAATCATCTATGCAATTTTAATTCAAATACAAAAGAATTTTCCATGCATCCGAGCTATGCAGCGTAGTGGTTGGGGTAGTGGGTAGTGGTGTTGGGTAGGGGGGCATTTTTAGCATAAACCAATTGTAGAAGCCGAACTAGTGGCGACTCCACAACTAATGCGCTCAACGCGCGCCGCAAACATTCCTTTCCTTTCCATTCCATTCTGCATCGAAGCCATCATCAGTTTCGGGCCAAAAGCTACTCCGAGTGCCGGGCCAAAGGCTTTGGGAATAAAGCCAAAAAATACGAGTACGTAGTATAAATAACCGCATTTGTGTGCGTCATGTGTGTGTGTGTGTGTGCGTGTGTGTGTAAAATATTTTGTTTAACGTTTATAGTTTTATGCACTTAAGATAGCAAAATATTTTCCTTCTCCTCTAGTTGAATTTATTTTCGAGTATCAGGCACAGAGCTTAAGCCAAAAGCAAAACTTTTGCCAATATTTGTAAAAAATATATTGATTGGCCTGAGCTGAGAGCGGGCAACAGCAGAGGAGGGCAGGACAGCCCAGCAGGGTATATTCATCTTGGGCCAGATACACCCAGACATCAAGGCAGATCCCCCACTAGAGCCATATATTAGTATTTTCACTGCCGATTGAAGGTTTCAAATGATTTAAGGATCATGGTAGATTAACTCAACTTCAAGGGACACTTCATGCATGGAATAAACACTGTTGGGATCTGATCTTTATGGGTTTCATCACATTATCTTTTTGGTTATCAACCCCGTGAGAGCATTTGATATTCCATATGAAAGATTCTTCTCTTGCCTCGCTTGTCTTTTGCCTCTGTCCTCATATGCATCTGGCTCTGGCGCATCCACATCGTCGCTCAATTCTTTGGGCAAACATTGGGTACAGCTATGCCACGCCCACTGCCACTTCACCGCCTCCTGCTGCTGCTGCTCTGCTGCTGCTCTGATGCTGGTGCAGTAGTCGTAGTAAAATTTTTGGAAGCTTCTCGTGCATGATAACAACTCTGTGTGCGTGTGTGTGTGGGTGTGTGGCAACACACAGTTTGAGAGCCATCGATGCGAAGTGCAGGCGAAGGCTCTTCCGGAAATCCCCTCAGCTTTGACTCTGACTCCGGCTTCCCGCTCTGCGGCAGTGGCTGTGGCTTGGGGCAAAGGTTATATTTGTTTTCTGTTAAATGTTCAAATATATTATTGCAACATGCTGGGAAGAGAGAGAGTGAGAGCGGGAGAGCACTTGCAGACATCCTCGAATTCGTATTTACATGCAAGCAGGAAATTGTGCTGCCCCTGCCCCTGCCCCGCCACACCAATCAACTTCCTCGCCTGCTCGAACCGTCTGCATGTTAAAATATTCAAACAAAAACGTTATGAAAATATGAACTGTGATGTTTATCGATTGTGAAATATGATATGCTCTGGGGATCGCAAGGGGGGCGGGGACTGACTACACCAGTCTCAAAGGGAGACACCCCCCACAACACACACACACACACACACACACGCACAGATACAGGCATGGTTGCATGGCTTTTAATTTGTTAGCACAATCCCATTGGCAGCCCGGTCGCTGCTGACAGGGATCTTTCGTACAACTGACTCTGTATGTGTGTGTATGTGTGTGTGTGTGTGTGCTTGTTTGAGTGTTTGTTTTGGTGTTTGCATGCCGTGTTTGTATGTTTGTTTGCGTGCAAGCCAGACCAGCGGCAGACTTGGGCCAGCACAGTCCAGACACGTCCGAAGGCAGCAGAGCCTTTGTCCCGGCCGTTGGAGTCCCATCCATCGCCAATCCCTATCAAAGCCAGATCAGAACGAGCCCCAGCTGAGTATTGCGGAGTACACCCCTCCGCCCGGAGCAATTGCAGCTGCAATTCCTTTGCCCGGCTAATAAATATTAAAGTTTAATTAAATATGTTTTTTGTTTGACATTTTATGGGCATATCGATTGTGGGCTGCGGCCCACAGTCCCCACGAATCCCCACCAATGCAATCGCAATGCAATTTCGCTGTTGGTCAGCCACCCTGCCCCGTGCCGGCTCCATAAATTTTCAACCTTGAGGCCACCCGCCACCCGAAGCCGAACGAGAGCCAAAGGCCATTAAAATACGTTTCCAGCCTTTTTTTTTTGTTTTTTTTTTCTACCACTTAACATGAAAGCGGCTAAAAGTGGGAAGAGGGAAGTTCGGGACACGGGCTAAACTAAAACTCATATTAAAAATTGACTTTTATCGTGATTTACAATCAAGTTGGCCTTTTTTAAATGCCGTGGTCGACATGCGGGTTGCCTGCACAGGCCCCCCCAAGCTTGGTCTGGTTTCCCAGTAGCCACTACCAACTTCATTCGCCTGTTGTTGCTGTTGCGGTTGGCCCGCACACACACACACACACACACACACACACACACACTTGCATACATGGAAAGCTGGGCCAGAGGAGGGCTAAAATATTTCTTCGTGGCTTAGTCCGGACGGGAAAACATATTTAAGCCGAATGCTGACGCCCCGATTCTCCATCAGAAGGCAGCAGCAGCAGCAGCAGGCAATGTGTGCAGCAGCGTCCACGACACGACACGTGGTTGCTTGCTTTGCCTGGTGGCAGGGGTAAATCGCCTTAACCACGCCCCACCACCAGCACCAGCAGCAGCAGCACCACCACCACCATCACACCAAATACACACTGACATCCTTGAAGGCGCTGCCGCTGCCTCGGCCGCTGCCTCCAGTATCTGCACTTCCATTACGAGTAGGAAATCCCTTTCGAACGTAGGTTTTTTTGCCTTCTTCCACGCTTCATATTTCCTCACACGTAATTCTATTGGATTTCCTCTGTGTCGACATCGACTTGGCCTCTTGACTTTTACTTTGGCCAGCGCTCTGGGTTTCTTTTTTTTAATTTGCTGAAGGGTTTCTCGCCGGGCCATTATCCTTGGCTGGGCGTCCAAATGTTTTCCCATCACCATTAAGAGATAATTTTAAATAGCTTTAATAATTTATTGTTAGCTGCATTTTTTAATTGCTTTTGTTTTGCGTTTCATGGCCTTAAGATGAACTAATCACCCAAGATTAAATGTATTTTCACATTCTGTATCATCCACAGAGACTGCAGAGTGGTGCGTGATCCGCAGACGTTGAAATCAAAGGGATATGGGTTTGTCAGCTTTGTCAAGAAATCGGTAAGCCAACGTACAATTTTGCAACATCAAAAGCAACCCAAAACCGAGCGTATTTCAACAGCAATTAGAAATGTTTCAATCAAACTCGCATTAGTCCCCGTGCACAAGTTTAATTTTCTAAGTAAGCAGACAGACAGAAGCAGCTGCGCTCCGCCCACATCCTGGGAGCTGGGGCTGGAGCTGGGGCAGGGGTTTTGGCTTTGTCTTCCCAATGAAATGAAATCTTAATTAAAACAATCTGAAACTTTGGCCAGCAGCCAGGTTGACGGGCCTCCGGCAACTTAACATATCAAAAGACACCTGTGGCTTTTGTTTTTCCTCAAACTTCCTGTATGGTCTCCCAGCCGAGCCTTATTCAGTATTTATAGTCAGTGGTGCAACCTTAAAGTAAATCCTGTTCTGTGTTCGTTATTTGCACTGCCTACTGTACCTAATTGTAATCGATAAGTACCTACACCCGCCACTACACCCCTGACTGTAATAGCCGTTTCAACCGTTCTTTCGTCTCGCACCTTTCTTTCTATTGGTTTTCGAAATCACTCTCTCGATCTATCACTCTCTAGCTCTCTATTCGTAGCATTGCGTAGGGTATGGGCAATTCGCACCTCCGGCCCTTATGGAGTCTTGACGTAGCACTCGCACCTGACACATCGTCGCCTAATGCCTTCGCCATATTAAGAATAAATAAACATATATGTATATATTGTTCTATTCGTGACGTTTCATTTGGCATCCTGCTCTAAACACTTTCTTTGTAAAAGACTTAAGCCTGGATTGCCTTTGGGCAATTATTTGATTTTATTTTCTAACAAATGGACGCACTCGTATATTAAGGATGGAATGGATCCTTCGGCCATTTTCTAGGGGAGTCACGCATTTGAAACAGATTTTTTTTATGGCCGCAGATGCAGCGTATCCCACGGTTCAGGCAGGCCCAGGAGCAACCCTTGAACCCGCCGCTCCGGGGAGACCCTGTAAACATTTACACATCATATTCAATATGTTTAAGCCGCAGCTGATAAGGTTCCAAACAAGGGAAACCAGCCCAGGCCGCCTCTGTGTGTGTGCGTGTGTGGTGTATCTGTGTTTTGTGATTGAATTTCATGTGCTTAATAGGTAGAAAATTCGACAAAGCGCCGACTGAGAGAGGGGAGGCAGCATCAAAGACAGAGCCACCAGAGGCAGAGCCAAACGAATGGGGTGTCAGTCAGTCAAGCAGAAAAAATGCGCTAGCTTAGGGCTTAGACCCACACAAAGATACACAGATACATAGCCAAATTGAAGATACTTTTGTGGGAAAAGCCAAAGGCTTAAGCCAAATCAATGCTGCAGTCAGCGGCAGAGGCAGCGACTCTGAGACTCGGAGACTCTAAGAGAGGGCGTAAAAGCCAAAGGTGCTGCAAGTCAATTAGGCGGCAAATGTTCAAAATTATTAATTAAATTTTCATGCTAATGCCGCAAACTGTACGTCAGAACAATGCTTGGCAGGGCAAAGCAGTGATGAGCGCGGATTTCGTGGGGCGGCGCCATCGACTACAGCTGTGGAAAGAGCAGCGAGGTGTGGGCCCTGGGAACAGGTCGTGTGCAAATACAACCTAATCTCTGACACTTGTAGGCTGCCACGCCTACGCCCACGCATCGCTGGCAGCTGTCATTCAAATATATGTACAGGCCAAAAGTCGAAGTCAAAGCCGTTTGGGGGAACTGGCTTGTTTTTGATGGAATTAAGGGGCCCGTCCAATGGCGCGTATACTTAATGTGTGTGTTTTCCATCTAAGTAGCTTCAGTTGGGTGCTATGATTTGAATCCGGTTTTTTTTCCACAAAGAGAACGGAGATTTTGCTACAAATTTGTCATTCTTTTTGCTGGAATGATGTGGGGATTATCTATTCTGGATATTCTTTATAAAATCAAAGTAACGATCGGTAAAATTGAGGCCAAAGCCTATGCATTATTGGCATGTCACGCATCGGTTCGCACAGCTGACATTTCTTCAAAGTTATGAATACCTTTTATTGAATGAATTTGATTTCTTTTGATTTCCGTGTGTTTAGTTTTTATTGATTTCCATTAAGTGCTGGCAAGACTGGACCATGTTTAATCAAACTCTGTGTGTCTGCATGGCATTTTCAATGTTTTTTTTGCAAAACCCGCACGTTGCAACATGCAACATGATGCATGTTGTGGCCAATGTGTGCGGAAGGCTTTTTTAATTTAAGTGCACATGCACATGACAGGGAAGGGAACAACAACAGAATCATAAAAGATACTTCTGAGGCAAGTGTGGGCGAGTGTGCAGGCGAGTGGGTTAACCATTGGCATTGTGTGTGCCGCGACAAACGGCAGTGGCAACAGCGGCAAGAACGGCAACAAGACAACAATAACAACAAATGATAATAATGCAACAATGAAACGCACAAGAAGATGATGAGAAGAATGGGGCATGCAGCATGCAGTACGTAAGCCAATGCCACTGCTGCTGCTGCCACTGCTACTGGCTGAAGGTGGTTGTGGGGCAATGGCAAGTCGACATTATATCTTGTTCGCTGCACACATTGTCAATTCGCTTTCGTTGTCGTCGCTGTTATTGTTGTTGTTTTTTTTCTGGCGTCGTTGCAACTTTTAAATAAATTTAAGTGCATTATACAACGAAAAATAAGTAATAGTGTGATGTCTGGGGCATGGAGAAGGCAGCGACGGAGAAGAGGGTAAAAAGGCAGCGACAGGGAGAGTAATGCGATTAAATGCAACTCAGGCGCTGGTGCTGGCGCTTGTGCTGGTTCTGGTCCTGAGCCTGCCTTTGTCTCCATAATGCGGGCAAATCAGTTTTGTGTCGTAAGGAAAGTCGACAATTCATGGAAGGCGCCACCACTCAAGATGCAGGAACAGCCTGAGTTGTTTTCTGTGGCCACGTGGCATGTGGCATGCAATAATATGTTAATATTCGTTGGATGTGTGACAATAGCAGAAGCCGAGAGTCGAGAGTACGGCAGGACATTAGCATTTTGGTAGAAACTTGCGGGGGGGAGGCACAAACACCGTTCCTGCTACCGTTTCACTGCCTGCTGATGTTGCTCCTTCTCCAGTTCCTTCTATTGTGGTTGCTGTGTCTCCTTTGAGTCCTGATCCTGCTCCTGCACCATCTTTAGATGTCTCCTTTGGCTTTTGTTCCAGCTCCTGCCGATATTGCCTCTTGTACATTTACTTTGGCTTCTGCTTCCAGCTGCTTGCTGATGTTGCTCCTGCTCGTTCTCATGTCGCTTCTGTCTCTTCGCTGGCATCGACATGTTTATTGCGTTTAATGTTTGCGTAAATTTTTGTCCGTACTTGTCGTTGTTTTTTTTTCTGCTGTGATTTATGATGCTAATGACACGCCGGCAGCCCCGTGCTTTCGCTCCTCATGCAAATGCTCAGCTCAGGCTTGCCTTGATGGTTATTAAATTATGGCAATTTGTATGCGTCGTCAACGGTGGGTGGAACCCACAGACGGGGACGGGAAGGGAAGGGATGGGAAGATGCGAGCGAGATACTTTTGCCCCACTGTTTATTTAAAATATGTTGGCAAACAATTTGCGTTAAATATTTTTGTGGGATTTTTGGGTGAAGGCTTGAGCTGCTTTTGGCATTGGGAATGGGGTAATGGGGGAATGGGGCTTTGTGGGAAAGCCTGGGCGATTGGCAAAAATGCCATAAGCGCCGGCAGCGGAAGTGCAAAATGAAAGAAACTGTTTCTTCCTTTTCCGCTTGCAGTTCAACTACCAATCCCAATGCACACACACATACACTTGATATATCCCCTACTTTTTCTCTGTGTGTGTGTGTGTGTGTGTGCAGTAAGCCATTCGAAAAATAACTTTTCAATTTCCGCAAAACCACAGAAAATATCAACTTTGCACAAAAATTTAATAAAACTTTTCGCATAAATAAAATTTGCATTAAATCAGCTGCAAGCGACAGGGCGGTGAGGCTAGGGGGACAGGAGGCGTGGCATATCGGCTTAGGCAAGGCGTTTGTGTGTTATGTGTGTGGGGGTGTGTGAGTGTGTGTGTGGGTGTCTGTGTGTTTGTGTTTGCAAAACGCATGTCGAGAAACTTAATTTGAAATATTTGAGTTTGCCATTTGGTCTGTGTGTGTAGCTGTGCGTCTGTATGCGTCTGTGTGTGTGTGTATTTCTGTCTTCCTCTTTTGGGGCTTGCATCGAAACTAATCGAGAAAGTTCGAAAATTGGAACCATTCCCCTGTTGTCGGTGGAGTTCTTCGGTAGCCGGCACCACTCTGCCCTGTTTTTTTGGGATGGGTTCAAAAGTGCAGCATAAATAGATAACAAGAAAGAAATGATAGCTTCGAGCAGATACTATTGCAGGTCGTTCCTCTGGCGGTTGTAGCTCTCTCTCTTTGACTGATACTTTATTGACTTTGACTGATACTTTATTTAAATTATATTTAACACACTTAACACTTCGCTTGGAATATCATTAGATGTTTCTATTTCTTAATAGGAAATAGATTCCTCAAGATCTTGTGGAGACTTCAATTGTGCTGCTTTTCGAGTCACTTCGACTGCCACAAAACGTACCTTTAACTTCCCTTTAAAGCCAAAGTCAGTTCATTTCTGATTCCTGATTCCTCTTCCTGATTTTCAATTTATTTATTCTCAACATTCCGGCCATAAATTTTGTGAAGCGTAGAGAACTCGGTTGGGTTATAAATATAAATGGCCTGGACATTCATTTTATGCTTTCCATAATAATTCAGAAACTAGTGATTTGAGGACTAGGGCCATAGGGACAAACTGCCTACACACGCATAAGCGCATAAGAACCGTACGTACGTACACGGGAACCCCAAAAGCAGACCAGACCCGTCCGTCACCCCTCAGGCAGCAGCAGCAGCAGCAGCTATAAAAAACCATTCAATGGTTGGGGGAGAGGAGGAGTGATTCCGAATGGGAAACAAGGGCAAAAACTGACATACATAAATAAATCCCATGGAATTATGTCTTGACAAAAGTGCGTTCTAGCGTGAAATACTGATTTTTTTTTTTTTTGGTTTTTTTGGTCAATAACTGCCCGCCGTTTCACCCAGCATTTTGGATGTGCCTGTGATGTGTGACCGTCCAGGAGGCAACGAATGGTCAAAAATCGAAAATCGTTTTGGCCTAAGCGAAATGAAAACAGTTTTTACCGTTGACTGGGTCCCAGACATGATTCCCCGAAAGAGACAGAGTCTCAATAGCAGCCAGAAAGCAGCAACCAGAAACCAGCAACCAGAATCCAGTTGGATGACTAAGGATTCTCGCTGCCTTTCTTGGCCACATCATCATCTCCGTCTCCATCTACGTCTCCATCGATGTCCTCCTTGGAATGCGACAAATGCGAGTGTGCAAACGATTTGCCACTTGAGTTATTTTATAAATATCAAGAAATCATCATCAGAACTCGTACAATTGCTCGGGCAGGATGTTATCTCTCTTTAATATTCAACTGGGGAAATGCGAATGGAACTGGGATGACGTGCCCCCTCTGATACCGACTTTCACGCTTATCTAAATAGCCACGTTAATGAATCTGGCCAAAGAACAAAGCTAAAACGGCTTAGGAGTTGGCCAGGCCAAAAACCTTTTAGTCCGGAATGAGGGAAAAGGGACTAAATACTTGGTGTCTGCTACCTTTTTAGGAACAAAATGGTCTCCCAAAAGAAAAGGAAGAACATTCTCCAAATGTGTCGGATTATCCCCCTTTCACTCTCTGTGTGTGTGTTTGGGTTTGGGTTTGCCTTTTTTTTGCACCTTCTTTTGGCTACAGTTTTTCCTATTCCGGTTGGCCTTTTTTCGCTTAGGCACAAAACCATTTCCTTATTGTTTTAATAAACATTGAAAATGTCTTGCTCTCGACTTACGGCTGTATACACACGAAACGTCAGCCACAACCAGCACACCGCCAGCCTGCCCCCATTTGTGGCAAGCGAAAGCGTTTCGGGGTTTGGGTCTGGGGGGCTTGGGTCGATTCCAGCGAGAGATCCACATGAAAAGTATGACAAAACCCTTTTAAACCACTTAAAAATTCTTCAACTTACTTTTGGCTTTTCTTCATTCGCTTAATGAAGGTATTTCGCCTTTTTGGTTTTGTTTCTTAAGACACACCCATACCATAACATCTCATGCCCGACTCATTTCCGCTTCGACCATGGTTGGGGCAATGGGGAGGAGGACTATATCCAGCATTAAAGGATTCTGCGCCTTATCAAGTAATCAATATTTACAAAAGGCCCAGTCCCCCCCCGCCGACAGTCTCAACGTTGACTTACACAAGAAGTTTGGCCGCCCAAATTGAATCTGCACGGCAAAATGTTCTTAAATTTTTTGAAGAAAGCCAAAAAACTTTTGCCCACCATCCATGTCCATGAAAATTAATTAACTTATCCCCAAAAAGCGGAAGTTGTCATTTAGAAAATTTTCAAGTGAATTGTTCATTGCGTGTCGCGCGGCAGGCGACAACAAACTTTTGACTGTCCAACAGAACAGAACAGACTGTCCTGCGAACTTTTAATCAAAGAGGAATTAATTTGCCAACTGAAACTGGAACTAGAAGTAGAACTAGGCAGTGCTGACGGCCTGCGTGCTATTACAGCTGTTTTGCTGGTTGTCACAGCGACAGAGCGGAAAACGCTTCAACTTTTCCGCTCCTGCTATTAGCTGCCAATTTGCCATTCACCATTCACCATTAATTAATTTCCCCGCCCCCACCAACTACAATCGACTGCAAACAGTTTAGCCACACAAACACACACACACACAAATAACTTTTGTCGTACCAACTGTCGATGGGGGGGAGTGGGAGTAGTCGAACCCACCCAAGACGTTTTCCATTGTCGTCTGGCGGCTGCCGCTGCTTGACCCAATGCTTCTCCACAGTAAATTTCCAATTAGCTTACATATTCTCAGAGCCAAGTTTTGGGCCCAAATTGGGGGCTGGGCTTCGGAGAGTTTCATAAATAGTTTGGCAAGTCGTAGTGGGTGCCATATTGCGGTCCTTAAACTGCCACTCGAGCAAGATGAATTGGCAAATGACTCAAAAGGTTCTTGAACTCCCCCAACTGTGATATAATAAAGTCGTCATTATGGTGGCTCGAGTTGGCTTTAGTTCTGTCTGGTATAAAGTAAGCTCAGTTCTACCTTTAAAATGTGTTTTTCTTTTCCTAATTTACCGCCAAAATGATTGATAAAGTTTGCCAGGTTCAAAGACTGTCAAAGCAACAAAAACTGCTCGACCAAAAAGTGTCCGTTGCAGAAAAAGAAGAAGTTTTTGTCTGGCCAAAAGTTCCCTTAACAAACCCCTCCCTCCAACCCACCCTCACAGAGAGAATACGAGAAAAAGAGTCAGACGCCAGCTGAGCTGACCATTTGCTAAGACAATTTTCATTGACACACGGAATTGCAGTTTCAGTTGCAATTGTGGAAAGGAAGCCAGGGGGCTGTCCAGCTGCATGCACTTGACTGGACGTCAGTGCCTGAAATAAGTCCTGAATGATGTCTCATGCTGCGAACCATTCAGCAACCGCAATACGAGTAGTGCCAGTAGCAAATACAAAATGAGTACCATTACTTAAAGCTAAAGCTAAAGTATTTAAATAACATTTGTGTGCGCGGCGGGGAATCACAGGGGAGCTCCTCCCCGTACGGAGTTGAGTGGGTTCTGTGGCCCTATTTGTACGTGTATATGTATGTGTGTGTGTGTGTGTATGTGTGTGTGTGTGTGTGTGTTGCAATCAACGATGCGTATCGCTTAAAAAATGTAAAATTTATAGTTTATGCAAATATGAAAAATGCAACTGGCAATGCATAAAAATGCGCACGCACGCAAACTGAGCGACGTTGCCGTTCGTTGGCATACTCGAGCATACACACATGCCACACACACACACACTCACACACACACTCGCACAGACGCAGCACACATTCAGACATTAAATTATAGCCAAAGTTGGGCGACAGTTGCGTGGTTTATCGCTGACGGGGCAGGCGCTCGATTGTTGACTTTTGCTCAAGTTGTTAAAAATTAAAGGCGCAAGGCAAGCAGCAATTCAGGACACACAAAGAGAAGCAATTCAAACGATTGGAATTATTGTCGGATATCCCATCGATAATGGGGGAATAAACTGCTTCAGAAAAGTGAGGCTTGGACACGGCCAAGATGCAAGTCTGCTATAAAGTATCAGTCATGTTCGCCATATACTCGTATGCACAGCAGTTCTAAACACCTTTTCGAAGTTCGACATCCATTAGGTCTACGGTAGTTGGCCAATGTTCAAACTTTCCACTTTTGAGCTCTGAAAGAGCTCCCCCTCTCGGCCCCGCCGAACAGACAGAGTCATTAGCCAAACAAGATCCGTACTCTGGTGAGCTCTTCAAAAGTTTGCCTCCCAGAGTCTACTTCCGGTGTTTTGGGGGAACAACCGTTTTTTCAGCCGCTGCACGTCAACGCTGATTTCAAGCGTAGCACGTAGCAGCAGCCAGCAGTCAGAGACCCTGACTGCGCCTCCGACCCGTTCACAAAGCGAAGGAAAATTAATGAAAAGAAAAAAGTCGGAAAAGCCCGAGGTGGGGTGCCTAGTTACAGTTACTGCCAGCCACAGACGATGCCGATGCCGAAGCGTCGACTTCGTTGCCATTTAAAGAACGTGCAATGAGCAGCTGCAACGTCTGGTTCGGCTGGTTCGGCCCGGGTCTGGGTCTGGGTCTGGATAGTCTGAGGTCTTATGGTGTGCCGCAAGTAAATTGCTATGAAACGCCCACCATACTGCCACTCTCACACATCCATCCCGTGTATCCAACTAGAAAGAGAACGAGAGGAAGGGAGAGAGAGAGAGAGAGAGCGAGAGAGAGTAGTCTGGCTGCATGCAAGGACCTTCTGCCAGTTGCAATCATTTTGGCATGAATCACGTTTGATACGCACGAATTACCTTTTATGCGAAATTGAAATTATAATTTGTGCACGGCCTTGTAAATTGTACGTATACGTATAAGGCATTCCCATCAACTTACTGCTACTTCTTCTACTCCTCTTCCCACTCCTCGTAGCTGGTAGTTGGTAGTTTCTTTCAAGTAAATCAAAGGGCAACCGAGCAGCAACAATGTCGCCTGCGTTTTACCCAAGGAACAACTTTTCCGCCAACGTAGCAATTGTTTAGCGCTCTTCACTTTATTTATTCATTTTTTGTGTTGTTGCTGTTGTTGCTGCTTCTGCTGCTGCTGCTGTTGCGGCTGCCGCTTTTCCTTAACACTTTCTGAGCTGTTTGTTTATACATTTTTGGTTGGCCTCTCAGCGTCAGAGGGGAGTGCGGCAGAGAGACTTAAGTAAGCGGCTTAGGCGGCTAGACAAACCCCCGCAAATGGCGTTGGGCTTTTAGCTAATTGCTCTCCATTTAATTTGGCTCGTTGCAGGAAGCGGAAACCGCCATCACTGCCATGAATGGGCAGTGGTTGGGCTCGCGCTCGATACGCACAAATTGGGCCACACGGAAGCCGCCGGCAACCAAGGCAGACAGTGAGTATCCCCCGTCCATCAGTACATCAGTCCATTATCACAGCCCCATTTCAACCCACACCCCCCCTACATATAACACCGACTCCCTCCCATTGTCATCTCAATCTGCTTTGCAGTGAACGCCAAGCCGCTGACCTTTGACGAGGTGTACAACCAGAGCAGCCCCACCAATTGCACCGTCTACTGTGGCGGCATCAACGGAGCCCTCTCTGGCTTCCTCAACGAGGACATACTGCAGAAGACTTTCTCGCCCTATGGCACAATACAGGAGATACGCGTCTTCAAGGACAAAGGATACGCATTTGTTCGGTGAGTTTTCTTACTCAATGATCAGGCAATCGTTGAAGAATTACCTACGACGGGTATAGGCTGTAGATCATACGGATTTAATTCTGCCAAATGTATACCCTACACTCCAATCCCTCCACTAGAAATATTTTGTAGAAACTTTGATTCCCAGTCTAGGATAGAGAAATGTTTCTTTAGCTAGTCAGGAAATACCAAAATACCTTCCAGATTTTTGGTTGTAACGTTCCAACTGTCTGTTCTCCCCCTTTTAGCAGGGTATTAAAGCAAAACAGCGCCAACTGTGTACTACATTAACCCTTTGTTTCCCACCATTTTGATTTTCCTACCTCTCTCTCTGCCACTCCACCGCCATTCGACTTAAAGCGACTCCTCTGTCCTCCAGTTCGCCCGGACTCGGTGTGCGTGTATTGTGGTCTGCGGTGTCAGCGTCGTATTCCCATTGTCGTTTTCGTTGTCGTTGTCGCTGAGTGCACGCCATATCAATGTGTGGCACAGCCCCCACCAAGCCGAGTCGCAGCCCCAGCCACTGCCCGAACCCCAACCCCAACCGGCAGAGCAGACCCAGACCCAATCCCGATCCCAGCCACCCGCCGTTAATAAATCAACAACACTTTTACACCCAACAACAGCAACAACGACGAGGCAAATTTGAAGTTGCAAACAGAACAATGAACCGCAATAACAGCGACAACGATGGCACGAACAAAAAAAAGAGAGAAAAATGCAGGATAGCTCACTTTGGTACACCAAAACCCCAAAAGAATACCCTTGCAGTGCGATGACCCAGCAAATCATAAAAACCTTCAACCTGCTGAGGGAAAACAATTATTTCTTCTCAGAAGATGTCACTGAAAATTGCCTATTTTGGCTGTGGGTTGGAAAAACTACCTTAGATAATATATTATCGTCTGAAACATCAATCTGTTTTCGTAGTACCCCTAGGAAGGGTATAACAACTGCATTGAGCGGGGCCAAAAAAATGAATGCTGCCGAGGAGGTGGTTGCAGATCGCAGCTGCCGTCACGAATGCTGATAGGGTTTTAATGGCAGCCGTTGGCCCACGACGAACAGAGTTCAACCCACCGCAACAAGGGGGGGTTGGCGGGTAGATGGTGCAGGGACGGGTCACGGGGGTGGTTGCAAGAGGGGGCGGTGCAACAGTCAAGGGAGCTGGAGCAACGCATTGCAGTTGCTGGCCATGTCCATGGGCGCCTTTTGTGCCCTGCTCCAAAACTCATTTGTGTGTTGGAAAACGTGATGCAAAAAACCAGAGAAACGAGCGAGCGAGAGGGGCAAAAGAGAGCAGGGAGAGCACGAGAGTAGAAGAGAGAGGGGAAGCGGCATTGTTTGGCATTTTGTAACATAATGAGCTCGGGGACTACAAGTGGACCCAAGCAGCAGCAGCAGCAGCAGCTGTAGCTGCATCAGAGTTGCCGTCGCAGTTGCTGCATCATTATAACCAATCCAGCAAGAGCCAACAGCAGCAGCAGCGGCAGCAGCAAACCACCACTGGAAACCCGCAACAAAACAATTCCACAGACGCTTGTACCACTTTTACGCTTTTGTTCTGCCGGCTGGCAACCACAACTTTCTGCTCCTTCTGCGGCTCCCCTCACTGCTTCTGGGTTAAACGGAAATTAAAGCAGGCCAATCTGCTTACTGCAACCTTATCCTTAACCAGCGCCCAGCACACCCCAGACTATATGTATACTCCAATTCCGATTTCGATATTTCAGTTTTTCCACCAAGGAGGCGGCCACCCATGCCATTGTGGCCGTCAACAACACGGAAATCAACCAGCAGCCAGTGAAGTGTGCGTGGGGCAAGGAAAGCGGCGATCCCAACCATATGTCGGCCATTGCCGGCCAGGCCCTGGCCCAGGGCTTTCCATTTGGCTCCGCCGCGGCTGCGGCAGCTGCAGCGGCTGCCTACGGTCAGCAGGTGGCCGGCTACTGGTATCCACCGGCACCCACATATCCCACTGCGGCCCCGGCCAGCGCCCTGCAGCCCGGCCAGTTCCTGCAGGGCATGCAGGGCTTCACCTACGGTCAATTCGCCGGCTATCAGCAGGCCGGATACATGGGGTGAGCACTGACTGCCAGTCTGTGGGGGCGAAAGTCTTGGCATTGGTTAAACCAATCCCGTCTTCCAATATTTTTGTATTTGCAGGATGGGCGTACAGCTGCCGGGAACCTGGCAGAGTGTGCCTGCACAGCCGCAGCTGGCGGGTGCCGCTGCTGGCACGGCACAGCAGATCACACAGAGCGTGGGCAGTGGGCTGCCACAGGCTACCGGAGTGGTGGCCTATCCCATGCAACAGTTTCAGGTCAGTCCGCAGGTGAGTGGGTCATTGATGGCCAGATGATGGCTAACGATTGTGAATTGTGCTTGTGGCTCTTCCAGCTGGCGGAGGACGAGTGGCTGGCGCCTAGTTTGCTCGTGTAGCTGCCATGAGGCGTGGCCATGTATCCCACACAACAACAACAGCAGCAGCAGCAGCAACAGTTGCAACAGCCGCAAGAGCAGCAGCAGCAGCAGCAGCAGCAGCAACTGCCACTGTTGACCACGTCCGGCGAATATGTGAAGGAGCCACAATACCAGCAGCACCACCAACTGCAGCCACTACAGCAACAACCACCCCAGAACCACCATCACCAGCAGCAGCAGCATCAGCAGCAGCAGCAGCCACACTATGTCCCCCAACTGTATTATCCCCCTCACTGGATGCAACAGCAGCAACAGCAGCAGCAGCAGGTACAGAACAACGAGCAGCAGCCAACAGCAGGAGGGGGCATGAATCAAGTAGCCCAAGTCTATGGGTTGCCAGAAGTGTAAAAATATTGCAAATTGCTCATGGCTGAATATGCCATAAATATATCCAGGAGAATATATAATTCAATGCAATCCAACACTAAAAGTCTAAAAACCAACCGAAAAACATAAATATCTAACCAAATTGTTGATGGCTGCATAGATTAAGCATTCAAATGGCAACAAAAAACACAGAGGACAGAACACAGGCCAGAAAGTGCAATAGTCATAATTAAAATTGATCTAATCAAAGAAACAGAAAAACCAAAAAACCAAAAAACCAAAAAACTCGAAAAACAAAAACATAAAATACAGAATACAGTAAACAGAATAAAGAAAAATAAAAGTTATGAATGTGTGTTATTTGTGTCTATTTTTGATGGAGCTACCACCACCACCACCCCCCCCAACCAGGACAAATGGTGGGTGGATAAAAGAGCCCATCCAGTAAAAACAAACTCTAAATGTATTTTAGTAGGTATAGAAAAGAAAAAAGAAAAACACATAGCAAGAAGTACATATGTATGTAGGTATGTACATATATACCAGAGTAAGAATAGAGTGGGTGCTACATATAACGGACGTGGTTATGATTTACCAAAGGCTTGCTGTCTATGAATTACGTTTCAAAATGCAAATATAAATTAAAAGAAAACAAAAGAAAACAAAAGAAAAGAAAAGAAAAGAAAAGAAAACAGAATACCTACAATCTAAGTGTACTTTTTAAGCTGAAGAAAATATAGAACATATAGCCTATAGAGGGGAGAACAGAATGAGAGATCTTTGAGCATAGAGCAGAGTTATGTTGACTGAAAATTAATTTTTGAATATTGGTCCTTACCTAAAACACTTGACTTCACAATATATTGATTTCATTCCGATGATCATTCCGATTGATGTGCATAGCATAAGTGTAGGGCCAAGTAATAGTCATAGGCAGGGAGGGGCAAGTCGAATGCTCCACCACTAGCTTCGATCAGTTGATTCACAAAAATTATGAGTGTTTATCCAGCATTACCTAGAGAAATATCAAGATATATGTGTAACTGAGTTAAAGACACACAAACACCCACACACACACACACACACAAATCAAGTAGAATAATTGCACCGAATACATACGACATATAGAGGAGAATGAGAGGCAGAGAGATAAAAAATATTTAGACGGACCCATGACTATATACCGATACTCCTAAACGATATCCATGGAACAGAGGCTACCACGCAGCACACCACACACCCACACCCACACACACACAGCCACACACACACACACACTCATAAGGTATTCAGATAAGAGATATTCATAATGTATCTGTGTTCGTGTAATGTGTAAATGTATTAAGTGAAACGTACTATAGGACAGACAGACAGACAGACAGTCGGAGAGCAAATCTAGCGAAATATTTAGAGAAAACAAAAAGAAGGAGAAATATGAGAGAAGAAAACGTGTAGCAAAAGCAAAATACAAAATTTAGTCAATGTTTAGCTAAGGATCGTAAGTGTAACTGTAAAACTATACACTAAATGTAAACCTAAACACAATTATTTATGGTATTTACAAAGGCAAACCAAGCATGAAAAACAAAAAAATACAAAATACAAAAACAAAAAACCCTAAAACGAATACAAATTGTAAACTATTTTTTACATACCAAAGAAACTAAAACCAAGGAATAAAAACCAAATGAAAATTAAAATGAAAGTGAAAACGATTCGGATGATAAAGAATATAAATCAAAACGAAAAACAGAAAAATTAGAACACTTTCAATTGGATGGATAGGATGGTAGGACCCATGAAGAAGCGCGTCTGATTTCTATAAGTTGTGATGAGAGAGAGCAAATCGATGCTGAGGACAAAGGAAACTGATTTATTTTTTCAAACTTGGCGAAATGGGAGTTTTTTTGAAAGCCAACGACAAACTGTGTATCGGCGTATGCATCACTTTACATACATACATATATACAAATCTATATATATACACCTATATATATACATACATATATATATATATATATACTATAAATGTTATTTGAGCAGACAAGAAAACTGTGTGCAAGAGCAAGCTATGCATTAAAATATGATTATTAAAAAAAAAAAAATGAAACACGATGGAAAAATCAAATAATATTGTAGCTGAACATATGTTGGAAACGTTGGAAAATTATGGTAAAAATTATGAAAACGAAAAGAAGAATAAAAAAAAAATCAGTAATACCCTATGATATACATATACTAGCATAATTATATTTAATTATGTATACATAGTTACGGTGTAAGCTAAAGGAATACAATTAAATGATTCAATGTTGTGTATGTACATATAAATATATATATATATATATATATATATAAATCCATATAAATAATGACAAGAATTCAATGTGCGCATTAACAAAGGAAACAAACTAAAAATGAAAACTGTATTAATATTTGCATAAAAATGTAAAAAAAAAATAAAACAAACAAACAAACACAAAATACAAGAACACACAAAAAAAAGCAAAGCTGCAGGCGAGCATCAGTTCCCGCCACGACATATGTCTAGATCACTATAGCGGAATCAGTCTCCAATCAACCCAAACTCCACCAAAACAGCTCATACAGAATCAAGCACATTTACGGCTATATATAATTGCATTTGCCAGCAAACAGCAGGCAAAAAAAAAACGAGCAGAGAAAAAAAATGAGAGGCGGAGAATTATGAAACGTGTGCAAGCAAAATCCCATAATTATGTTAAGCGCCTATCAAAAGCCTATCCAATTCAATCAAAAGCGAACAAAGCCCCCGGAACAAACTCACACACAAACAGTTACACGCTCACAGCTATGAACAAATACCATCACATACACCCACACACCCCCACTCACACACAGAATGAGAGCAAACACATACATACATAGAAGCAAACACGTTAATATATGCATAGAACAAGGCGCTGCAGCCTGAAAGCGAATGCAGTCGAGCCAGAGAGAAATAATCAAATAAAATGGAAAAATGTTAATCAAAAAAACGAAAAATGACATTAAAAAACAATAAACTTGGTGTTTTTATTTAATGGGTTACTTTTAAAATGGGTTTAGGTGTGAAAAGGAATGTATTTAGTCCTAAAAAGGCTATTGATATTTATCAATTTAATTTTTAAATGCCGATTGATGCATTGATTGATGCTTGGTTTTTTTTTAACTTCAAAAAGTATTGAGAATTGCTACCACCTGCGAAAGAATGATTCTAGCCCTAAAAACTAAGATACTGAAGAGTTTATTAAAGAAAACGATGGGAAAAAGCATTAGAAAGAGCAGACCAAAGCGTAGAATTATTTACTACCCATTTTAGATGTCTCTCATTTTAGCGCACAGATATCTATTAGGTGTTCCTTCATGATACTGGTATTATTTCATTAATTTGCAAGGCTAATTTAGAATGAAAATAACAACTATTTCGGGCCCTTCAACCTATTTGATTTCGTAGCTTCTTTTTTTAAACCGGACTGAAGTTACCCGCCCCAAAAACAAAAGCTTCATGCCAGTCACGTAAAAGCCAAAAAGTACCCACATATATGTGAGTGCACCTTTACAGCTGGTGTGCTGTGTTCGAGTGGTGTGGAGGTCGAGGCGAAAAATGTCGCTGGCATTGTGCCTCATTGCACAGCGGGAACTGTAAAATTTCAATATTTTACTGCATTTTGCACTTTTGCTGCCGGTTGCTACTGCTGTCTGCTCTCGGGGCGATGATATCCTTTCCTGACCCCGGCACTGTACTGCGTGCAGTCCCTGCCGAACCCTGGTTGTCCTTTCTGAGTACCCATCCTGACGTTCTGCCTGAATGGCAATCATGATGGTCCTGCCTGCCATGCCATGGCCACAACCTGTTTAATATGCGCGCACAAAATGGCACAGCAACGAAATATAAATAAAGCAAGTACAGCCCAGGCTCAGGCCCCGGCCCAGTCCCGCTCCCAACCCCCTGTAAATGCATAAAGTGCACATGTTACTCATACGCCCGGTTGGTCGCGCAAAAACCCATTGCATGGTGAGGGCACATTTTTGGGGCACGAATCCATGAATCACACGGAAATTGTTGATGGAACTTTCGGAGCACTATGCCATAAGAGATCCCCATTCTCCAAACAAGAGTCTGACATAGCCAGTGGGTACCTTCTTGTACCCACTTGACTTGATGGAGGTAACGGGCTCGTACCTGACTCGCTTTATGTGTGTTTTTTCTTGGTATGTACACCAAAATATTTTGCAATAAAAACTAAGCACATAAAAATCCACTGCATTAGCTTTTTTTGCTTAATTTTTTGTTTGTTTAGTTTTTTGACTGTTTTTTTATTTTTTGCTGCTTGCATTAAAAACGTAAAGGGACAACTGCAAAAGTGCACCTAAGCTCCTAAATATAAAACCCAGATTCAGACCCAGACGTTCCGAGTTTTCATGTAGATTATTCTGGGCAGGCTCCCCCATCCCCCTTAACCCAGCCAGGGGCCTTAACGATGACTGCAGGCGTACGTCTGTTACTCCTGCTACCCCAAAAGCAGGAATCCCAATTCACCTTCCACCTTTTTATGCTCTTTTAATAGCACTTGTTTAGCAAGCAAACAACGCCGGAAACTTAAAAAAAGACTCCTTTCTTCCCACGGCAGCCCCAGGAGCTAAAAATTTTTATAGCAAAAGTTTGAGTGTTTGTCTGTTTTATTAACCGTGC